AAGCAGCGTCCTCTCGTGGGGGCGGCCGGGAGGGCCTGCCAGGCGGGGAGCGGCCATTAGTGGGGTCTGACTTGCATTTCCGAAGGTCCCTGGGCTGCAAAGGGGGCGGGCGCCCCAAAGAGAGGCTTTCCCTGGCCAGACCTGTTTCCCTACCTGAGAAATGGGGCTGCGGGGAGAGGGTGACCCCCGGAGCAGAGGGCTCGGGCTGGGGGGGACCCCTCCCTAGGAAGTGAGCCCGGGCCGGGCGCCGACGCCTCTCCGGGAGGTTCTGGCAGGCACGGGAACAGACACTGCCCGTCCTCCCCAGACCCGCGCCTGCACGGGGCGGAGCCCCCCTCCCGCGGGCTGACGCAGCCGGGCCCCCGCCAGCCTTCCCAGAAACGCGCGTAAATCAGGGAACAGACGTCAGCCCGAGGGGGTGGCCCAGCGGCGGGGCGACGGCGGGGCTGGGGGCTGGACGCCCGATCCCGGGCCCCGGATTCCGGCGACCCCTCCCACCCACGCCGAGCCGCGCCTGCAGGCGGAGCCCCCAGCCCCAGGCCAGCCCGAACCCCGGTGCAGGGGGCCCGGGCGGCATCTCGCCCCCAACGGATCCCGCCCGCAGACCCGACCCAGTCCCCTCCCCGTGCGCCCCACCGGCCCGGCCTCCGGTCCGCAGGGCAGGGGCGGGGGCGTGCGCCTCCGAGGACCCCCGGCCCGCGCCCCCGCCCATGCGCGCGTCTCGTGTCCGCAGATTCGTGCGACGGCGTGGAGTGCGGCCCGGGCAAGGCGTGCCGCATGCTGGGCGGCCGCCCGCGCTGCGAGTGCGCGCCCGACTGCGCGGGGCTCCCGGCGCGCCTGCAGGTCTGCGGCTCGGACGGCGCCACCTACCGCGACGAGTGCGAGCTGCGCGCCGCGCGCTGCCGCGGCCACCCGGACCTGCGCGTCATGTACCGGGGCCGCTGCCGCAGTACGTGGGGGCGGGGCCTGGGGGCGGGGCCTGCTGGGGGCGGGGCCACCGGGCGGGCGCGTCCTGTATCGCTGCCGCAGTACGTGGGGGAGGGGCCTGAGGGTGGAACCCGGTTGTGGGCCGGCTGGCGATCGGGGCGGAGCTTGCGGGTGGGACCCGGATGGGGGCGGGTCCCTTTGCAGGGGCGGGGCTTGGTGTGGAGCCGGTGTGGGCGGGGCTCGTGGCTTGGGAGGGCTTGAGGCAGGGCGTGAAGGTGGAGCCGGGTTGGGCGGGGCTCGCGGCCGGGGCGGGGCCTTGGGGCGGGGCTTCAGGGTGGAGCCTGATGCAGCGGGGCTCTCAGCTGGGGCAGCCCTTGAGGGTGGAGCCGGTGTGGGCGGGGCTCCTTTGTGGGGGCGGGGCCTTGGGCAGGGCTTGGTGGTGGGACTTGAGGGTGAAGCCGGTGTGGGCGGGGCTCACTGAGGTGGGGCTTGAGGGTGGAGCCAGGCGGGGGCGGGGCTTTGGGACGAGACTTGAGGGTGGAGCCTGTTGTGGGCGGGGCTACTTGCGGGGGCGGGGCTTTGAGGGTGGTGCCGGTGTGGGCGGGGCTCTTTCGCAGGGGCGGGGCCTTGGGCGGGGCTTGGGGGGG